CAAACAGGATGGACCGGTCTCCAGTTGACATTCTCTAATTCCATTCTTTTCTTCCACACCATACTTTATTATGTACCGACAGAAAGTGTGACTGGACAGCCCATGTGCCTCCTTCTTCTGCAGCTATGCTCATCCAGAATTTAAGCAGTGTTAGAAGCATCAGCCCCATGGGGCTCCCTGGTGAGGGGGCAGCAGGTGGTGGAAAAACCAAGAGTGGTGAGCAATGTCAAGATGGCTGAGCTTATAAAAGTGCGTGCTTAGTTTCAATGAAACGAACCCTATACTTTCATGAAGGACAAGAAAACAGGAAGACTCCTGTGCCTGTGACTTAATTCATCTGGCTCCAGGCATTTGGGAATTCTAATAGTTTAAAAAAAAAAATCAGTTAACAGAAGGCTAAGAACAAGATTCCCCACCCTGAAATGCCCCAAGGTGATGATGTACATCACATGACTTGGTTAGCAGTTATAATGCACCAAGATACCGATCTTGAAAGGCATTTTATCCCACTAAGGTTTGCCAGTGACACCTTGGCTGGCCTGCCTTTTTTATTTCTCCCAACTCGGAAAGGGTCTGGTTTTCCCAGGTCAAATAACTTGCTGGAGGGCTACAAATCAGTCACGACATACATCAAGGCTTCACTTAGCCACTGATCCTCTCTACCTCTTTGTGAAGAAATGACATTTTTCCTTGAAATATCGAACGAGCAATAAAAACCTAGTAGGAACACAAGCTTGCATTTTTTTTTTTTAAATATAAAACTTCACGGTTTTTAAGTTCAAATGTCCTATGGTTTGAAATTAAGCTGAGTTCCGGTATGTTTTCACATTCCATAAGAGTTTGCAATGACACATTTCATGCATAAAGGGAGAATTAAAAAGGAAAAAAAAATGCTTGTGATCTGAATTTTTAATACTCTGAATTTTTGTGGTTACTCAGAATTTTAAATTTCTCTTAATTTGCCTCATGCCTTAGGGCACTACAGTTAATAAATCCATGCAGAGTGCTTAAGAGCCTCTGAAAACAGAAAATCTGAGTGGGGACTCTTAGAACACCAAGGCTTAAAGAAAAAAAAAAAAAAAAAAAAAAAAAAAAAGAACACCAAGGCTCCGAGTCTGTAGCAATGTGGGATCCTTCTCTAACCAAGAATATTTCTCATACCTTTTTAAATTGTCTTTCTCTATGACTACCAGCGAACAATAGCCAGCTGCATAGAGATGACTGTGTATTGGGCACAGTGCTGAATATTATCTCATGTAATTCTTCCACACACCCTAGGCCGTCAGTGGCATGACCGTGGTGCAGATGAAGAGACGGAGTTTAAAGAGAGATTAAACAACATGTCCAAGGTCACACAGCGAATGGATTCTGGAAACCAAAGATAGGCTATGGATTGCTTCCCAAATTCTTGCTCTGCACCAGTATCCTACAAAGACTGAAAACACCTCATTCCCATGACTGGCAAAAGGCTTAGAGCCAAAATACACGAGGAGCACTTGCTGGGAGTTCTGGCAGGTACGAGAAACATCGTCCCCACCATTCCTGGGCTACAGCTAATAGACCTCATATGGAAAGGACAGAAAGATTCGGCTTGTGGGTCTTGGATGAACACTTTTTTCAAAATAGCCTTTGGCTTTGATCAGTCTCTCTTCTTAATGGCAAATCTTCCCCCTTCTAGCCTGTTTTTAAGCTACATAATTATAACCCAGCAGGTGTGTGTAACAAGCACGTCAAGAGGCTGAGCATCTCCAAGGCATCCCATCTCAGCCTTTGTTTCAGGGTTGGCCAACCTTGACCTTCATTCCTGCTCGGCCACTGGTAACTTGCTGTTGTGCCCAGGTCATGCATACAGCTGAAGCATGATCCTCCATTTTTTTTAAGGACTTTTTTTTTTTAAGATTTTATTTATTTGATATAGAGAGAGATCACAAGTAGACAGAGAGGCAGGTAGAGAGAGAGGAGGAAGCAGGCTCCCTGCTGAGCAGAGAGCCCGACGCGGGGCTCGATCCCAAGACCCTGAGATCATGACCTGAGCCGAAGGCAGAGGCTTAACCCACTGAGCCACCCAGGCGCCCCCATGATCCTCCTTTTTACAAGTCCGTGCCCACAGCCCTTTCAAAGACGGCTTCTTTCATTTGGACCAACTGGGCCAGGGCAGTGACTTGTAGAACATCCTCCCTCCAATTAAACCTGTAGGCTCTTTGGCCAAGGAAAAATAAACTGATGGAAGCAAAATCCATTGTCAGATTTTAACAGAAGGAGGAGGAGGACATAAGCGGTGGTACAGCATGGACAGTTGCAAAGATCACCAAGAAAGAGGAGACGAGGCAGTAGTAACACAAGATGGCCCGGTTGGGCCCTTTTTGAGTTGAATGGCACGTCTTGAAAAGGAAAGCGAAAACTCTGCCAATCAAAAAAAAAAAAAAAGACTGTGTCTTCTGACCCTTGTCTAAACTATGGAATGAACAACCAAGCCTGACCGCGATCAATGTCAAACGATATTGACCAATTCCTATGAAACTGAATGTAAAAAAAGGACCGTGAGTCATAAACAACTGAGAGGAAATTTGCTGCAGGAAGAATCTGCGCAGACGCCAATTCACCATTATTTTGGGAGAAAGCCTGGTTGTCTTTAGTGGATGTATTTATAGTCTGTGGGATTCTCAACTTCATGAAGCCACATTCGCTAACAGATGACTCGTGCATCGATTTAAGTTATATATGACACGCAAGACTCAGCAAAACCAGTGAGACTCCTGAACGCTATTTCTTAAAGTGGAATTCAGGGGAGAAATAAATTACTGAAAAATGTTAATATAAGTTGAGGTCTACCTCCAGAAAACACAGTAAGTAATAATTTGGTTTTATAAAATAGACAAACTAGGGATTAGTTATATGCATTGACTGGGATTCATTATGCTCCTTCTCCCTGCCACGGACCCCCACTTAACAACCATAATGTCCATCAAAAGCCGATCAGTTAAATGAATTCTGTATTTCCGCATAATGGATACTGGGCAGCTTTCGAACGAGTGAGGAGAGATGTGTTTATAAAGTAGCCTGGAGAAATGGGACACGGGATGAAATAGTGTGTCTAGAATGATTTCTCTATCTGGAAAGCTTAGGATAAACACTGACAAAGTCTCAATGAACCACTGTCATTCCTTTGACCGTGGTTGCCGTGGGAAGGGATGGGCATTGCAGAAGGACTCCCTCCCATAACGGACATATTTCTGTAGTTTGTATTTTGTTTATTTTACAATGGCTTTGTATAGCTTTTTGGCTAAAAAAAAACCAAACCTATAAATAAAAATGATTTTGAAAATTGTTTTAAAAAAATTTGCATGCCTATCATTTCTAAACATTATTTCTTTGAAATCTGCTCTTAGAGGCAAATTTTCAAGTATAGACAGCATTACTGATATTCCTCCTGGAAATCAAGTAAGTATTCCTTACTTTGATCTTGGTCACAGGGCTTAGAGAGACATCATTTTATTACGCGATTACATGCATCTAGCCTTCCCATCCCCGACATAGATGGATATCAGTCGCAAAATGATACTTTATTATTTTTATCAAGAATTTCCAGTGAGAAGCCTCAATGCCCAGCTGGTCTGCTATGGGAGGGCAGAACTGGCATTAGAAGGGGGTGAGCCCTGGGCCACCTCTCTGTGTGGTCTGCATCAGCTTCCCGACCGTAAAATGGGGAGAAAAGAGGAGTTTAATTATTTTTAACTCAATGGACGGTTGAGAGCATTGATAAAACCTGAAAAACCACAAAGCAGATGAAGAACACAGAGGTATGATGGCAAAGGCTGCTTCATGACAAATATGGCTGTTTTTCTAATAGACATTAAAGCACGAGACAGATGGAAATGATAGTAGTTATTCAAGGCTGCGATGTCGGGGTGTGATAACACATGGTCTGCTATTACAGGTCACTGTTTCACTGCTGTGACTGACACCCGGAGATGCCAGCAGAGCAGGGAGGGCGGCAAAACCAACCAGGGCAGTGTGAGCAAGCCTTCATGTCATTATACTACACAGTAGGCTGGGGCAGGCGGGGGGCTGTCTAGGTGGACTCATCCATTCTCATACAGGCAGAAACAGATTGTATGCCTGCGCTTGGATCAAGAGAAAGAGCATCACGGCCACAGTTCACAATGAAAATAACGTAATTTATTAGGTCTGGAACACCCAAACCTGAGAGAGAATGTGACCTTTAATAAACGGCACATAACTTATTTTTCTTAAAAAAAAAAAAAAGCAGACGTGTTTAGTGTGGAAAATTGTGAACCAGAGATAAGTGAAAACAGCAGCAGTAGTAAAAAGATCAATCAGAACTGGATTACTGAGAAGGAGCCAGCACCAAAGACTCTGGCTTATGTCTTCACAATTCATCCACCTGTGTATCCATCCAATGTCAGTAAGTGTATGTATGTATATGTATGTACATTATATGTATATTATATATACATACTTTAAATGATATCTTTAATAATATTTTATATATAATTTTATATATAAAATTATATATAATTTATATATAACTCTAATAATAATATGTATATTATACATATACTTTATATAAAATATTTTAACATTATATATAATTATGTATATAAGTAAATATTTAATACTTACATAACAGATAAATATATAACATTTGGAAAACACATATCATCCTCCTCTTCATACGACCTTAAAACAGAAATCTAATTGGATGCATTTATAAATGAAGTTGGGGTCAACATCCTTAGAGTTAAGTCTTTGTGCATAACTTGATTCCCTTAGGATAAATGATCAAGTGTGGAATTGCTGGGTGAAGGGTACATAAATTAGTTATAAAAAGTATCTTTCACTTAACCTGAGCCTTCTCTGAATCCATGGCTTCACTAACCAAAGTTATTTGTCCAAACCTGTTCGGTGCCCATTAAAGCAATATTCCAAATCCAGAATAGCTCAAGCTCTTCTATGTGTCTATAATGATTCACACTTACTTTCCGAGGTTTCACTTTATCTTGCAGATCATACTGGCCAATTCCTTTATAGCTGATTCCAAGCCACCAAGGAAGTCCTTGTTTATCCTGGAAGATGGAAAAGCATGAGAACCAAGCCCTAATTGTTCAGTCTTCTAGAGGTGAAGATTCACCAATGTCATCCTTGAACAAATATCAGCAAGGCAAAATAAAGCTGTTCTGGCAAACGAAACATTACTTAAAAACCTAACTTGCTATTAAAATGCCTTCAAAAAAGGTCTGTAAGTTAAAACAGATCAATACTATTAATGCCATCAAAAAGAATGAACCATGACTGTCTTGATTAAACAGCTGGAGGAAAGAAAGAAAATATAAAAATCCTGAGTGTAAAGCTAGTTATCCATTTAAAAAAAAAAAAAACAAGAAAAGAAAAGAAAAGAAACTAAAAAGAAGAAGAAAAAAGCTCTCTGTTCTCTTGATTAATAACCAGCTATAATGGTCAGAGAAGTTTCCAAAGAATTAAAAAGATGAGAAAGGGGGCGCCAAACCTGATGTTTTATAACCCCCACTTAACAACGAACCTGGGAATACTGAAAAGCTCTTTTGGAGAACTGTACGATTCAATGGCAGGATGTTTGAATCATCACTTTGAGATACATATGGGGAGGAGAGGAATTTTTTTTTTCCACAAATTTATCATTTAGGTCCTGCCAAAGTGAAGGATGTATTGACACAGGGAAAGAAAAATGTAGGCATAACCATATACCCACATGCAAACAAATTAAGAATCAGGAGAAACCCAAGTTGAATTGCTACATATTTTTAGTACGAGGTACCCTCATTATGCAAGTACTTACTATTTAACCCCCCATTTTGAATTGCGAATACTGTTGTAACTTGAAAAGTCACTCAAGATTGATCTATGATAAAACTCCTTTCAAGCAAGACCCCCTTCTTAATGGTGCTTTATCCCTAACCTCTCAAAATATTTCTGAATCCATCTCTCCCTGCTTGAAAGCACCTGAAAATACTACACAAATGTGAAATCTACCAACTGAAAACTGGTATTGCAAATCCTGCAAAAATTTGAGAATTTTATGAATCTGTTGAAATGACAGTGGCAAGTTTAAGATTCTCCTATAAAGGCTCTATCAAGTGAGTATCTGGTAGCATTAGACAGGTGAACAACCAGAGAAGAGAAACAACAGCAAAAATAGGTAAAAGGAATCGATGCACTAAATGAGAATAATTTGAGTATGTTAGGATTCATAGAGGTTCTGGGAGAACATCTGAATGTAGCAACTATTTTACAAAAATAACAAGCTTTATAATTTGCTACAAATGATAAGGTATAATCAGGCTTTTATTTTTTAAGAAAATCAATTATATTTTAAATGTTGAAATTTAGAGAGATAATTTGCATGCATATGCACATTAATTTATGTAATTTTAGAAGCTGGTGCTATTCATTAACTCACAAACTAACATGGGCGGTAGGAAAGCTTTGTTATGCAAAAGTATTTACCTTTACTGCATAATAATGGACTCCGTAAGTGGGTAGAGCTTCTACTATTTTCATATACCTATGAAAAATGAATATATATTATAATCTCTTAATAAATTAGAGGACCATTTTGGGAAAGGTGATGTACAGAAATATGATATGTGGGGTGCCTGGGTGGCTCTGCCAGTCAGATTTTGGCTCAGGTCACGATCTCAGGATCCTGAGATCCAGCCTACACAGGGCTCTGAGCTCATCGGGGAGTCTGCTTAAGGTTCTCTCTCCCTCCCCCTGCTCGCACACTCTCTCTCAAATAAATAAATAAATCTTAAAAAGAAAAGAAAAGAAAAGAAAAGAAAAGAAAAGAAAAGAAAAGAAAAGGAACACGATTTGTATCTACTTTCCTCATTACAACCATGGCTAATGCCTCTGACTACAGTAGAAACACAGTAAGCCACTCTAGGGAGTCATATATCCTACCTTACCCAAATGTTAGGCAGTTGCTAACAAAACTTCAATTTCCAAAAGCTATAAGAAATGTTATTAAAATTTCTGCATATTAAAATCTCTATGGCTTAGAAACATACTGGATTGTATGTATCATAAACCCAACTTGCAAGTTTTTTTTTTTTAAAGATTTTATTTATTTATTTGACAGAGAGATCACAAGTAGGCAGAAAGGCATGCAGAGAGAGGGGGGAAGCAGGCTCCCTGCTGATCAGAGAGCTTGATGTGGGGCTCGATCCCAGGACTCTGGGTTCATGATCTGAGCCAAAGGCAGAGGCTTTAACCCACTGAGCCACCCAGGCACCCCACAAGTATTTTTTAAACAAAGCACTTACTGATGCAAAGCAATGAGAATCAACTTTTGGGTCATGCTTATAACAAGTGAAAAATAAAGCAATTGTGCGGAACCTAGGTGGCTCAGTCAGTAGAGCATATGGCTCCTGACCTTGGGGCTGTGAGTTAGAGCACCACATTGGGCCTAGAAATTACATACACATGTACATATATAAATAGTTTAAAAAAATAATAAAGTGATTCCATTTACTGCTTGTGGTAAACTCTTAGAAATATACACTGAACTCTTAGGTCTAAACTCTAAGAAACACATCGCTACAAAGAAGAGTTTTACTGTATATCAATCTGATTTTTAAAAACATGGCCCCCAAAATAAAAATTAAAACAATGATTTCTCCATTTACTATTTCTAATTCAACAAGTATCGACTGTGTACTTCTAAGGTTTTATGTAAGACTTCCTCTCTGCTCATAAAGAATTGAGGTTCTTGTTGAGGACAAGTGGACTTTTTAATGGCATTTTGAGTATTAAATGCTCTGGGTTTTGTAATCAATAATTTGATGCTTTTTAAAAAAGTAAATGGACTGCGCATAGATGAATAGAAGAGGTTAGGTAAATGTGCCAAGAACAGGCAGCAAATATACTGCACAGCCAAGATTCCAACAAAGTGAGTGGGATTCCCCAGTCTAGACCCTTAACCCCCAAGTCAGCCTCTTATTTGGAGCCACAGCTGTTAAGATCAAGAGAAGGGAAAGGACTCTGCACTTAAACAAGGACACTTCATAACACGCTCATTAGCTTAACCTAAAATCCTTCAGGGAATTTGTTACTCTTCTTCGCCCTCCCCCTTGAAAACAGGCACAATGAGTTAAAATGTCCACGACTGAACTTCAGGACTGCTCATTTTTGATTTCTGCCTTGAAGACCACAGAAGGTGTGCTGTGATCAAAAGGAGATCAGTGCAAGAGGCAGAGGTTGTGAGGGAAAGCTATACACTGACCAGGGAGGGGAAAGGCAGTCTCTAGGTCCTTATTTCAGTTCTCACAGGCTCTGAGCTGTATTGAGTGGGTTTTTAAAAGAACTTCTATGGGCATAAAAGTTATTCTACAATTACCACAGTAAAAGGTTATATTTGGTTTTATAATTTTAAAATTATAAAATTATAAATTTAGTTCTTATAATTTTTTTTTTAAGATTTTATTTATTTGACAGAGAAAGAGATCCCAAGGAGGCAGAGAGGCAGGCAGAGAAAGAGAGGGAAGCAGGCTCCCCGCTGAGCAGAGAGCCAGATGCAGGGCTCGATCCCAGGACTCTGAGATCATGACCTGAGCCGAAGGCAGAAGTTTAACCCACTGAGCCACCCAGGTGCCCCAGTTCTTATAATTTTAAAACTTTCACGTAGCTTCTGAACTATTGTTAATAAATGGATGGTGGGGGTGCCTGGATGGCTCAGTTGGTTAAGTCTCCGACTCTTGGTTTGGGTTCAGTTCATAATTTCAGAGTCCTGCAACTGAGCCCAGGATCAGGGCTCCCTGCTGATTTTAATAAATCTTTTTATTTTTTTTTTAATTTTAATTTTTTTTAAAGATTTTATTTATTTATTTGACAGACAGAGATCACAAGTAGGCAGAGAGACAGGCAGAGAGAGAGGAAGGGAAGCATGCTCCTTGCTGAGCAGAGAGCCAGATGTGGGGCTTGATCCCAGGACCCTGGGATCATGACCCGAGCCGAAGCAGGAGCTTTAATCCACTGAGTCACCCAGGCACCCCTAATAAATCTTTTTAAAAAAATAAATGGATAGCAACTCCGTAAGTCTAAAATGCAGAAATGTATCACTATGGTCTGCTCTTGTTAACATGCAGACATAGATTATCCAACACCAACACTGTATGCTCCACTCAAAGTAGAGTCACAAACCAGGCAACCAAGTATGGCCTCCAGATGGGTTTTATTTGGGTTGCATTGTAATAAAAATTTTTTTTAAAGATTTATTTAATTTATTTATTTGACAGACAGAGACCACAAGTTGGCGAGAGGCAGGCAGAGAGAGAGGAGGAAGCAGGCTCCTCACAGAGCAGAAAGCCCGATGTGGGGCTCAATCCCAGGACTCTGGGATCATGACCTGAGCTGAAGGCAGCAGCTTAATCCACTGAGCCACCCAGGTGCCCTGTAATAAAATTTTCTTAAAATTACTTTGCAACATTTAAAACTGGATTTTAAAAATCAGAATTTCCACCTTTTCTTAGAAACTATCAGCTCTGGTAGCTTTAGGCCTGCTGAGACTGAATAACTTTGCCTCTACTCAGGGCAACAGCGCTCCAGTTTACCTCAGTCTCCACCATTCCCTATTGCCCCTACACCTGGCCTGCACTTCTCAGTTTTGCCACCTGCCTGACTCTGGAAAATATCTGAATTGATGACAGCAACGGCAGAATGACTCAAGGCATTTTTATAATTCATAGCAAGGCTTTTCTAACCAGATGGGGATGATATACACACAAACCACACAACAGAAATAATTTCAGATGACTTCTTCAAACAGAACGCATTAAAATTCTATCTAAGCAAAAGGAAAGACAGATACTTACTGGACCACAGCTTGACCCCGAGTCAGACCTTTGATTTTCAAATAATGCTCAATTACCCTGTCCTCACTGTAAAACAAGGAATGAAAAATATGGCAATGTATGATTATATGAGGTACAGACTCAATTTCAAGATTCTCAGGTGGTTTGTTGAGAAACTAGAGAAAAAAGACCTTTACCAACTTGTTTGGGAAATAGAAACTGGCTGACTTTAGTTTCTGTAGGACACTCATTCCTGAACCTCAGACATTTGGATTCCTCATCAAGACTTTATTTATATTTTGTATGATATATAAATATATCAATACTTTTTAAAAATTTGATTTATTGGAAAAGGAAAGAGAATATCAATTTATCAAATGAAAAACTTATTTTTTGCCATAATTGAATGAGATAAAATAAATATAAAATAATGTTATTAATGCTAATTAGTGAGCCTTTCTAGGGAAATTAAAAGGCTTAAAAAAAGAGATCAGCAAATGTTAAATATTAAAGGCATTTCCTTAAATTATCCACAAAGATCCAGAAAGGATTTAAACTGTTCTGAGTCTTGTGTGCAACCCAAAATACTACCCTGTCACTCGCTACTTGGGAAACACTGCTTTCAGAGAAAACGCTTCATTACTGTCCCAGGATAACACTTGTTGACTAGAGGGGCACCTGGCTGGCTCAGTGGGTAGAACATGTGACTCTTGATCTTGGGGTTGTGAGTTTGAACCCCATACTGGGGGCAGAGATTTAGTAAAAAACCCAAAAACTTAAAAAAAAAAAAACTTGACTAGAAAGGTGAGAATTATGTTTAAGTGTGTCACCTTTGATATCACTCAGTTACTGTACCCTACTTACAAATAGATACCTGTCATGTCTCAAGTATAACCTAGAAGGGTAAATGTTTTTATCTCTACACAACCAGTAATTAGCAGTAAATGGTCTCCCCCCCACCCCCAAGAAACTATCACTTAACAATAATATGTTTGGAAGGTTCCAGACTCAGGAAGCAACACGATCTCAGGACTCACTTTTGCTCTTTCTGTGGGAACTGCATTTCATCTCTCCTATGAAAGTTATTCATGTTGAGTATTTATTTTGTAATCAGTTTTTCAGTGGAAAGGAAAACTATCTTCAGGATTCCGAACCATAAATCAAGGAAATTATATTTAAAGGGGATGTAACTAATTCAAAGTTGTGGGTGGGGGGAGTACTTTTCAAGGAAAAAACACTGTATGGAAAATGGATACCATGGATTCATTAAAATATAAATAGAACCACTTAAAATATACAACAATTTTTGGCTACAGAAGAAATTTGATCAGTTAGGTAGTTTCTGGCCATTAAGAAAACCTCTATCCATGGAAATCTGTATTTTATAACATGTATATTGCACTCTGCTAGATTAAGGCCACATACACAGTGACATGTTCACTTAAAAGCCCTCTCTACAAAAATAATTAAAGAAAAAAGAGTTACTGCTTAAAAAAAAAAAAAAAAGCCCCCTGTACAGACCTTCGACACACATGAGTGAAAAGGCACGAAGCCACACTTCACAAACGACCACAATCTTGGTATGATGATCTCCAGTAAGCTTTGACAAGACCCTTTCAGGGAAAGGATGAAGGTCTACTTATAGTGGCTCAGATGCACGTGATGGGCTATGGGATACTTTCTTCACTTATGTTTCTTTTAATTTCTTGAAAAGCACGTTTTTCTCAATGGAGGTTATGAGAGCAGGGTCACCTGTCGTCCTGCTTTGGCTTACCAGTAAGCAAGGGATGGGTGCTCCTGAAGAGTTTTGGTGGGAAAGGCTGGTAGGGTCTTTAAATCTTTCCTGGCATTTTCATCACTGAAAAGAAGAGGAATACAGTAATGTCAGTCACCATTACCTAAAATAGCATCCAAGCTAGCCACCAGAGGAAATCTGATAAATCTGATAAATCTGATAAATCAGGATACTGGGCTGTAGCAAAATACCATCAGTACACACGTAAGGCTAAGGATTCAATTAGAGAGAGCCGCCAACTGAACCCCCACCCCAAGCCATTTGATATTTTGAAGTTTTTAAAAAGACAAAAAAAATTAAAATTACAGTATTCAGGTGTCATAATCCTATTTTCCTTACTTTCCTGATAAACTTGCAGCCATGTTCATTGTATATTTCTTATGTGTATCTGTTCCATTACATAATTATTATTATGGTGGATATTCCATTTTCACAGAGCATTCTTCAAATTTCTTCACATACTTTTTCTGTGTTCCTATAGCACCCTCATAATGACCTTTAGTGGACACGTAATGTTGTTGGAATGTTGGTTATCATAAAACCGTTCGGGTAGTATCACCAATTTTTCATAATAGATAGCAATTCAATAAAAAAGTTTATATTGGAACACCTGGGTGGCTCAGTTGGTTAAGTATGCCTTTGGCTCAGGTCATGATCCCAGATCACCTGCTAGTTACAAATGAAAACACTGAACCAATCAGTTTCAAGAGCCATCATTCATGCAATTTTCACATTAGCTTCCCTGGGGTTTGCCCCAGTGATTCACACTCAAAGAAATGAACCCCCCCACCCGGAGGACCAAACCCAAGCACGGTGAATCTCTTCCCAAAGCAGTCATTCAACACTCACAGATCAATTCTTACAGATTAATCTGGGGAACCAGGCATGACCCACAGACAGGTTTTATTTGACCCTCACTGTACTGTGCTATATTAGAAATTGCTCACTCCTGTCACCAGAGCAGGCTTGATATAAGTGGTTCTCTTTCACTGTCTAATTTTGTCTTTTGGCTTTACCATCGCACTTCCTGGCGGTGCTACAGGGCAGTCAAGGGAACCCACCGAGCAAACTGTACATACGCTTACTGTCAGAACCAAGAGTTGAGTGTCACCTGGCTTGGAGAAACTATGATTTGCACCTGTCAACTTTACATTTCAAAAGGAAGGTTGTGGCCCTTCCTAAAGGTTAAAGATCCTGCTTTACACATTGCTACAGGAAATAAAAAGTCACTTGGCTCCTGTTCTTACGTAAGAATAAATCTCTCTATTCATTTGAAATCTAAGCAGTATGGTTTAACCACATTGACAATCTTGGAAAACAGGTTTGGGCTTCCTGAAAACCAAAATATACCACAATCCAATTTATTCATATTAAAGGTCATCTGTCAACTCTCAGTAATGATATTTATTTTTCTTAATAATTTCTTTTATGCTCTGTCCTTCAAATCCCATTTCCTTTTTCAGAGAAGTTGGCTTGGGAGTTTTTTTTGTGCAGGGAAAATACATGTATACATTCTAAATGATAGGCTAAGGACAACACTTTTTGTTATTCATCGTCACCACCAATGACATATGTATTATTATCTTCTGGGTCTATGTGAACTATATACCATGTTCCAAGGACTCAGCCTAGCACTCAGTTACCTCTTTGGGTTATTGTTAACTTTGTGGCAATCAAGACCTCACTAAGGTAGAAGCTGCTATTTACTATAACTTCATTCATTCTTTTAGCAAGTATGTATCGAGTACATACTGTACACTTAGTATGCGGAAGCAAAAGAGAAAGGAGAAGGGACAGAAGTAAGGGAGAGATTTTATCCATCATTCTATTCAATGAGCTCATTGAGAGTAAATGGGATGACTGACGTTGAGGCCCTTTAAGAAGGCTTCAGTTCCGGTGTCCTCAAAGCACCAGCATCTCACAATACTGAGATTTTTCTAGAATTTAAGCATTTAGTATATGCTTGGTAAACACCAGCAACTTACATGTTAGTGCATAACTAAAGAAACAGCTATGTGTTTCAACAGAAGAAAACTACTCCCTGGGCTGGCTTTATTGAAAGATAAACTCTGCTCTTTGACATGTCATCTTTTCAAGGAATTTCTCTTCTTTTCTTTTTAAGATTTATTAACTTATTTTAGAGGAGTCGGGGCAGAGACAGAGGGAGAGAGAATCTCAAGAAGATTTCCTGCTGAGGGCTGAGTCTGACATGGGGCCAGATCCCAGGACCCTGAGAACATGATCTGAGCTGAGATCAAGAGTCAACCACCCACCCACTGAGCCATGCAGATACCCTTCAAGGAAATGTCACAAGTAATTTTAACTGTACAATAGTCCCCCCTTATCCACAGGAGATACACTCCCAGACTTCCAGTGGATGTCTGAAACCACAGATAGTACCAAACCCTATATACTATCTTTTCTCCTATATATACATACCCATGATAAAGTTTAATTTGTAATTAGGCATAGTAAGAGATTAAAAACAATAATAATAAAATAGCGGCGCCTGGGTGGCTCAGTGGGTTAAGCCTTTGGCTCGGGTTATGATCTCAGGGTCCTGGGATAGAGCCCTGTATAGGGTTCTCTGCTCAGCGGGGAGCCTGCTTCCCGCCCGCCCCCCGCCTTCCGCCTGCCTCTCTGCCTACTTGTGATCTCTTTGTCAAATAAATAAATAAAAACTTAAAAAAAAATAGAATAGACAATTTAACAATGTACTGTAATAAAACTTAAATGAACATTGTTCTTTCTCTAAAAATACCTTATTGTCCTATATTCACCATTCTTCATTCGATGATGTGAGATGAGGAGATGCAGTGAGGGGAACAACGGAGGCATTGAGACCTAGCGTCAGGCTACTATGGACCTTCTGACGATTTGTCAGGAGGAAGATCATCTCTCCCGGACCACGGGTAACTGAAACCGTGGAAAGTGAACCCACAGGTGTGGGGGGGACTACAGTTAGAACCATCCCAGTTATAAGATGTGGTTATAAGATGTGGTAAGATTCTCTTCATCTGGATGTGGGGGTTGAATGAATCAATATAGCACCAAAGATCAATCATGGGCCAGTATCCTAAATAACAACGAGTATTCACTCATGAAGACTTTTCTGGGGAACTGATCAATTGCCGGGAAGCAACTACAATGTGCATCAGTAGGGATACAGCTGAGGGATCATTTTAAGCAGAGTCTAGACTACTTTAAAAGGAGTACACCTGAACAGGTAGAGCCCAAGGGATCTGGGGGCAGTTCACCTATTCTGAATAATATTGTAATGATATACATGATATCACGTATTCGTCCAAATTTTAAACTCACACGACACAGATTGAATCCTAACTTAACTAGGGACTTTAGTTAATAATTACGTAATAATATTGATTCAATTGTAACAAATGTACCCCACTAGTGCAAGATGTTAATAGTAGGGTAAAATGTTGGGGGTGGGACATGAAGGGGAAAGAAAAAGAGGGTAGATGGGAACTCTGTACTTTCCGCTCACATTTTCTGGAAACCTAAAACTGCTCTAAAAGAATAAGGTATATTAATTCAGAAAAGAAAGAAAGAAATACACTTTAGTGGCTTTTAACCTGTGTGGCTTTGCTCCTCAGGGGGCACTTGGCAATGTCTTATGGCATTTTTTTTTTAAGATTTCATGTATTTATTTATCTGAGAGAGAAAGAGATAGTGAGAGAGAGCGTGAGCAGGGGAAGGAACGGAGGGAGAGGGAGAAGCAGGCCCCACCACGCTGAGCAGGGAGCTTGATGTGGGACTTGATCCCAGGACCTTGGGATCATGACTTGAGCTGAAGGCAGACACTTAACTGACTGAGCCACCCAGGTACTCCATTAAGACTTTTTCTTTTTTTTAAAGATTTAACTTTTTAAGTAATCTCTACAGCTAGTGTGGGGCTCGAACTTACGACCCTGAGATCAAGAGTTGCATGCTCTACTGATTGAGCCAGGTGGGCTTAGACATTTTCATAGTCACATTAAGACATTTTTATAGTCACAGCTGAAGGGAGGCATTACTGGCATCTGCTTGAGCAGAGGCCAGGATAGCTGCTCTGTTTCCTATAATCAGAGAATAGAGCCCCAACAACAAAGAATTATCCCACCCAGAATGTTAGCAATGTTGAGTTTGACAGAGAGAGAGATCACAAATAGGTAGAGGGGTAGGCAGAGAGAGAGAGAGGAGGAAGCAGGCTCCCCGCCGAGCAGATAGCCCAACTCGGGACTTGATCCCAGGACCCTAACACCATGACCTGAGCCGAAAACAGAGGCTCAACCCACTGAGCCACCCAGGCATCCCGCAATGTTGAGTTTGAAAAACCCGACCTGAATTATTATAAAGTTTTTTCTAATCAAATCCTAAAACTTCTAATTGTATCTTTTAGACCTAACGAAATTCTCGTGTCACTCTTAGACTATAGATATCCCAATACAAATACCCCTTAGGTACAAATGCCTATCAAAAGCCAAGCGAGAGAGGCATTAGGCATTCAACTATGTAAGCTAGCTAAAAACAGGCAAGTCAGGGGGTGCCTGGGTGGCTCAGTCATTAAGCATCTGCCTTTGGCTCAGGTCATGATCCCACGGTCCTGGGAATGAGGCCCCTGCTCAGCAGGAAGCCTGATTCTCCCTCTCCCATTCCCTCTGCTTGTGTTCCCTCTCTTGCTGTGTCTCTGTCTGTCAAATAAATAAAATCTCAAAACAAAGACAAAAACAAAAATAAAAATAGGCAAGTCAGAATCAGTATTAGAAACAAGAACACCAGGTACCCGGGTGGCTCAGTGGGTTAAGCATTTGCCTTCAGCTTGGGTCATGATCTCAGGGTCCTGAGACAGAGCCCCATGTCAGGCTCCCCACTCAGTGGGGAGTCTGCTTCTCCCTCTCCCTACCACCACTCCTCCTTAGGAGTGTACTCTCTCTCACTCTCAAGTGAGTAAGTAAAATCTTAAAAAAAAAAAGAAAAGAAAAGAAAAGAAAAAGAAACAGAAACACAGTTAAGAATGGTGGGGACTATGAAGAAAAGAAAACGTTGCCCATTTGCAGTATTAC